GTGGCGGTCAAGAAAAGTGCTCTCGGGGCCCAGGTGCTGCCACAGACGAGGCTCTCAGTTGCCACCCTGGTGATGCCCTGCTCTGCCTGCTGCGTGGGGCTGGGGGTTCCAGCCCTTACAGAGCTTTCTCGGCTTCTGTTCTACTTCACAGGCAGTTGCCTGGAAATGGGGAGACGTTTTATAATGAAAACCAAACTCATAAAATGGGGATTTGCATTTAAGTTTTCTTTGCCCTCATTTCTGGGGAGGAAAGCAAAGGTGGGGTGTCTCCACACAGGTGATTCTGGAAGCACATGCCAGGGCTCCAGTGACCTGCGTGGACTCCATGGATTCTATTCAGACCAATCTGTAACTGTCAGTGGCCAACAGGGACTCGGGGACATGGGGACGTGGGGACACAGTCTGTGTCATCCACACTTGTCCCTGGCAGACACTCGAGGGTGGAGACAGTGTGGCCCCTCTGGAAGCAAGAGGATGTGATGCCCACTTCCTCTATCTGGATGAAGGCCTCGCTCTGTCCCTTCATGCAAGTTCCGGTTTTATCTGGTCTTTCTGGTGAACCTGGCAGAAGTGTGGTTTGGATGGGCATTTCCCTTTTTTTTCCCCCCCTTTTTTTTTGACAGTAACATATTTAGATAATAATAAAGAACTCCCCTTAAAGATATCCAAATAGAGAATTGCAGAAGTTGCTTAGTAGAGGGGGCTCTGTTAGCAGCACTTCTGGGGCTGAGCCCGGTTCAGAGGTGCATCAGACCCTGTTCTGCCACCGTAACGAGCAGGCCCAAGGTCCAGGGGCTCCGTCCCAGGTGGCCCCAGAGGGGCCAGTGCAGGGGCCCAGGTTGTCAGGGGAGGAGGGGCAGGTGAGCCTCACACCTGCTGAGCCCTGAGGGCTCCCACCTGAACCTCAATTTCCACGGGGGCCTCCACCCCCGGTGCGGGGAGATGACCTCCTGTCATGTGCCCTGAGGCCAGAGAAGGACTTCCGGACAGAGTCGCGGCCTGACACTTCTTTTCGTTTGGGTCTGATCCAGGGGTCATCTCAGGGGAGCTGGCAGAGCTCAGGCACCCGGCCCCACCATCTGCACTGTGACGGGGAGGAACCTGAGTCTGCAGACCCTCCCTTCTCCCCATGCTCCCACCAAACGGGAACAGGGGCCAGGTACTTCCGTGGCCTCTCTCCCACCTTCGGCCCCGTCCTGAGCCTCCGCCCCCGGACCGATCTATACCCGTCAAGGCTGCTCACGTGAGGCCAGAGACGCACGTGATTTGAAAAGTGGGGGGCGGCCAGGCCATCCCACCCCGGCCCGACATGGCGGTCCCCGGGCTGCCCCGCCCCCCACCCTGCTGAGTCACGTTCTGTTCCCGTTCAGGGCGGCTGTGGCTTCTGGTGGGTCAGAAATGTTTCTGGTTGAGCTGTCAGTGGCTGAACGTCCTTCCTGCCCCTTGAGAGGAAAGTTTCGGCTCTGGAAAATTACCAGGCCAGGAAGCTAGGGAGGTTTCTGCCCTGGGGCAGTTTGAGAGAGAAATTTCCCGACTGGTCTCGGACTGCGAGGACAGACACGGGCTCCTGGCAACCTTTATTAGAACCGCTTTCCTGATCCTCTGGCAGCAGGAAAGCCGTGTCCCAGACAGTCCTCGTGGACACAAGCTAGTTTGTGTCAGAGAAGCGGCTCCGCCGTTTCTCTGACACAAGCTAGTTTGTGTCAGAGAAGTGGCTCCGCCGTTTGGAACAGGTGAAAACCCTAAGTTGTGAGTTCAGACACATGGACTCCTTCTGGAAAGCATGGCAAACCCCAGAGACTGCCTGAAATGATTCCTATGTGCGCAGGAGTCCGGGCCCTCCCCCACCCTCCCTGGGCAAACTCCTTTTCAAAGCACCTAGAAGTCAGGTAAATATGGAAAGTGGGTTAAGTACCAGCTAAATCATTACAGCAGAAAACATAATTGCCAACCAGCCTACTTAAGGCTGGAAGTCCTGGGGTTGGGGGCAGGTCTAGAGCCCACTGAGCTCCCCAACCTGCACAGGTGATGCCGTTCAGGTCTGTAGATGCCACTGATCTGAATATTTGTGTCACCCCTCTCCCTCCTCTCTGATCGAGGAGGGAACGTGACCCCCTCTGATCTCCCTCTGTCCCTGGTTGGGGCACCTGTCCCCCCTGTGTGGGTGTCACACCAGCACACACAGGTAAACCCCGTCAGTCACAGGGAAGGTTCCTAAATGCTCCAGGGGAGAAGCCACTGGGAAGTTACACACAGCTCCGCTCGGGTCCGTCCGGGGCCACATAAAACTTGACGGATGGAAACAAGGGCAAACCGGAGCAGCCGACCCTAACCCTAGACACATGATATGTCCGCATGATGACATCAACCCTTCCGGGTTCCTCCGCGATCCTGTGCCCAAGAGGCCAGCACACAGGCTGCATCGTGGGCCTCAGTCTGTCCGTCTGTGCAGTGGGGGAGCCAGCAGGGCTGTAGGAGCTCCAGAGACAAGGCCACAAGCTGCCCAGAACGGTGTGAGCATCGATCGGGCTGGCCCTGGGGTGGCCATCCCATCACGAGCCCATATTTCAGAAGCACGGATTAGACTGTCCCTTTCCTGCCTAAAGCATCCACGGCTCCCGGCACCCAGCTCCTCCCCAGGAGGTGGTGAGTCTCGGCTGCTGTGACAGATCACCGAGCCAGACTGGGAGCAGCACGCAGACAGCACCCTGCAGCTCTGGGGCCAGAGCCTTGGGTCCCCCGGGTGCGGTGTCTGTGGGATGGAGCTCCTGGAGGCTTTCTCTTCCGTTCCAGCCCTCAGAGGCGCCACGCCCCGTGGCTCATGGCCCTTTCCTCGCATCACCCCAACCTCTGCTTCTATCGCTGCGTCTCCTCTGGCTCTGACCCTCCGGCCTCCCTCCTCTTGGAACGCTGGAGACCAGTGGGCCACCCAGACCACCAGGCTCATCTTCCATCTCACAGTTCATACTCCTTTGCCAGGTAAGGTAACATATTCGCAGATTCGGGGGTTAGGACGCGGTGCTGTTGGGGCCAAGAGGCACCCTCCCTCCACTGGTCACCTTGCTGTCCTTCCTCCCTCTTTGTGCCTGCTCCCAGGGGCTTTCAATCCCTCAGCCTGGCCATCCTTCTCACTCTGGGGTCTCGGCTGGTGTCCCTTCTTTCTGTCAGGGTAGAGCTGGCCCCCCAGGGTCACCCTGCTAGTGCCTGGTCCCTGTGGTTTTTCTGCTGTCGGTGCTGTGCTGGCAGGGGACGCGTCTGCTACTGTCCCACCTTGTTTGTCCCTCAGAACACCAATAATGTCATCTCACAGCTGCTCAGTCAGGTGGGCTGCCTGAAGGTGGGGGCTGGAGACACTGTCTCTGAAACTCAGTCCCACGCAGCAGCCATGGAGCATTTTATTCTGATTTTAAGTTAAATTTAAAAATTTAAACTGATACCCATGCAGCTTCTGAAAACTTTTATGTTTGAAACAACTTAAGTAAATGAGTGTCCTTTTCTGACCATAAATTTTATGAAATTTAAGTATAAGCAATGATTTCTGATAAAGATTTAGGTTCTGAATTTAGATGTGCTGTAAACATAAAACATACATGGGATTTTGAAGGCTCACCAGAAAAAAGGGAAAGTAAAATATCTCATTAATAGTTCCTTATGTTGATTATATGTTGAAATGATAATTTGGGGGCTACTTAGGGTTAAGTTAAAAGATATTAAAATTACTTTTACCTGTTTCATGGAAAATTACATATATGGCTCTATTATATTTTTATTGAACTGTGATGGTCTAGATGCACAAAAGTTTAAAAAACAAAACCTGAAAGTTTAATGCACCACCTAGTGGCAACTTTGAAAGGGCAGCTGGGGGCTGTGAGCATCTCTGCAGAGTGGTGGGAATGTGTGTGTGTATGTGTGTGTGTGTCTATGTGTGTCTGTGTCTCTGTGTGTGTGTCTGTGCATGTGCGTGTGTGTGTCTGTTGGTCTGTGTGTGTCTCCGTGTGTGTGTCTGTGTCAGTGTTTCTATATGTCTATGTCTGTGTGTCTGTGTGTGTGTGTCTGTGTCTATGTGTGTCTCTGTGTGTGTGTGTGTGTGTGTGCGTGTGTGGCTGTGTCTCTGTGCTTCTGTGTCTGTGTGTCTGTGTCTCTGTGTGTCTGTGTGGCGCAGGGCACAGTGCTGGCCACACAAGGATGTGAAGCCCATGATCTCTGCCTCCAGAGGGCCAGTCTGGGCCACAGTCCCCAGCACAGTGGGCAGAGTGGACGCCCCACTGACCCCTCCTTTGTGGGGGGTAGCCCAGCTCACTGGCTGGAGCCCAGGGGAGAGGTTGCTCTCCATCCAGAAACAGGACTCCTGGGAGGGTGGTCCAGGCTGGAAGCTTCCTCTTCTGAGAGCCGCACAGCTGGATCACATAGAGGTTCTTGGGGCCTGAGGGGCGTCCCAGCCCCCAGCCCCTGCGTGTCAGGGGAGGCAGGTCCCTGGGCAGAGGGTGGTTGTCAGGAAGGCAAATCTGGGTGACAGGTGGTTCCCCTGCAAGGTGGCAGGCCTCGCATGGGGTGTTTCCAGGGAGGGGCTGGGCTTCGCTGGTTGCTAGCTGCTCTTGAGCTGCAGTCTCGTCACCCTCCCATCAAGGCCACTTCCTGGGGCTCTGCGGTCCCAGAATTGCTCAGCTCCTGCTTCCCCGCCCCCCCACCCCCGTGCTCAGGAAGCGGAGGTCACATGGGGGGCACTTGCCATCCGCAGCCACAGTGGAGACGTTGACAAGTCGGAACTCTTTCTTTGGGAAACTCTCCAGTCTCCCGCAGGACCACGAGTTCCCCGGGCGGGCCTGGGGGAGGTGTTGGTGGGGAGCTGACCTGAGCCCGGACTGGGAAGGGGGCCACCAACCCCTCGGGCTCCCGGGTGGCTCCGGGCTGGACAGCAGGCCGGGGGAGGGGTCTGGCAGCCCTGGCCGTGAGGGGGGTGAGGGTGGGATGGGGAGGGGGGCGCGGTGGCCTGACCTGCTGGGCTCCAGCAGGGAGTCTGTGTAGCCCAGGCCCTGTTTTCTCAGTGTCCCCGCCAGGGCTGGTGGCAAAGCCAGGCTGAGACAAGAAGCGGGGGAGCTTGGTGGTGAGCGGGCTGGGGCTGTGGGACACCCCCTAGAGCCGGGCCACGGTGAGGGCTGGCCCACACCCACTGCGGGACGTCCGTCCTCCTGGCCTGGGTCTGCCGGGGTGGCCGTGGCTCTTTCCCCGGGATGCTCAGCCCGCTGTCCTGTGTCCCCCTCGAGATCACCTGCCTCGCAAAAGCCGGGAGGTGCCCGTCGGCCTTTCCCACGGCCACTGAGGGTGGATAAGAAGGAAGGCGGTCTGACACCCGCTTCTCCTGGTGCCTCCCTGGGGTGGCAGGTGCGATGAAAGCCCAGTGGGCCTGGACGGTAGCTGCTTACAAGGCCGCAGAGAGCTGGACGCCGCCCAGCTGGCCCCCAGCACCTGTGTTTCCTACCTGTGTCCTTCCTTTGTGTTTCCATCTTGCCCCTCAGGCAGCTCCTCCCTGGGACTCGGGTCTGAGAAGGTCGATGATGCAGGAAGGTGATAAGTCAGCTGGCTGCCATCGGGGGACCCTGGAGCCACCGAGAACACAGGCAGGCCAGCCGGGCATGTCTTGTCACCACCCCCTCCTGCCCTCCTTCCTGGCCCTGAGAGGGGTACAGCCACGCAGGAAGCCTGCCCTTGGAGGAAGGGGCTCTGTGAGCAAGGATCAGGTGTACGTGAGGGATGGTAGCCGGCTTCTCCGCACTCACGGCTCAGAACACACCGCTGCCCCGGGCCCCGGAGCCAGGTGAGAAAGCCCGCCCAGGCCCCGGTCCCGCCCTGGCCGCCCTGGCTGCGGCAGCCACAGGACAGGCGGTGTCTTTGCTGGTGTCTGTGGGCTGGAGGGGAGGGGCGGCTGCTGGTCCTGCTGAGGGAGAACCTGGGACTGCCTTCCCAGGAGGGGAGTGAAGCGGCATCGCCTAGGAAGGTGACCTTGCTTGGTGACCTTGTGAGCACTGGCTTCTGAGCCGGATTCCCGCCCGTGGCTCTGTGTCCAGACAGGCATGGCTCTTCCATGCCCAACAGTCCCTGTCTTTGCTACAGCAGGAAAGGAAGCTACAAAATCCCCCAGGAGGTTCCGTTCTCCGGTTCCCATGTCTGCCCGGCACCTGCAGGGCCTCCGGTGTCCACTCGGATCCTCTCAGGAGGGGGCATCCTCGACCGAGTCCTCTGGACTCAGATACTGAGTGAACTGATCTGAGCCCTGTCTTGAATCATCAAGGCCACGGCTCCTCCAGGGCAGGCCTGGGCTCCACATTCCCCCAAACAGGAGAAAGAGGGTGACAGGAAGGTGGGTGTGGGAGACCTAGGGGACACCACCTCTTCCAGAGCCGTCACCTCGTGCTTACAGCTGGCTGCCATGGGACGCCACGGGCAGGGGGCTGTCTGGAGGCGGGATCTGTGGAGGAAGCCCCTGTGCGTGGGTGAGGGGAGGGCGCACCGTGCACAAGTGCGGATCCACCTGCAGGAAGTGCTGTGTCAGGTCCTCAGCTGGGCAACGGGGGGGAGGGTATCTGCCGGTCCTTTGGCCTCTGCCTCTTTGCTCTGTCTGCCCAGGTGATGAGAACCCAGTGGGCTCTGCTTGAATGGAGTCCACTTTCAACTGTTCTTTTGCGAGCAGCTTCTCCTCGGCATCTTCCCTGAGATTTGAATCCACAGAGAGTAGATTCAGGAAAACAAAACCTCCACACTTTTACCAGCTGGCCAGGAGGGAGGCCACCCCACTCAGAGTCCTGCCTGTCTAGGGGTTGGGCGGGACCATGGAAAATAACAGTAACAGCCATACGTGGGAGCCACGGGCCAGGCACCGAGCATGGCCTTTCACAACAAGCCTATGGAACACAGACTGTCTTATCCCCACTTTATAGATGGGATAACTGAGTCTCCCAGGTAAGAAATTTGGTCCAGAGCCCACCACCAGCTAGTGGCAGAGAGAGCTGGCTTTGAACCAGGTCCTGTAGGCTCCAGGGCTCAGGTCCTGAGCCCCTTCCAGCCTGGGGGAAGGCATCCTCAGGATGCGCTCTGCCCTTGGGTCCACGACAAGAGGCTGGACCATCCTCACCTCCAACTCCGTCTGTCCTACAGGTCCCTCTAACTCTTGGGCCCAGCTCTGGGGTTCTGCTTCTCGCCCTTGACCTGCAGCTGTGGTGTCCTTCACATCCCCAGATTGGTCTCCCCTTTGTCTGTAACCCGTGAAATCCCATTTTCTGATTCTTCCAGGTGAGACAGCCCAGAAGGGGCAGCCCTGGTAGGAGTCTCCCTTTTCCCTCTAGCGGGCTTCCCTGCTGTCTGGGTCTGCATCACAAAGCATCCCACTGAGGGAACTGCCCAACCGGCACTGGAGCTGCATGCCTTGGTGTCAGCCCTGGGCCTGGCATCCCTGGGGGCTCTGCCGTCCCTCCTTCAGCTCCGCCCCCTCCCTCAGCTCCGCCCCCTCCCTCAGCTCCGCCCTCCCTCCCTCAGCTCCGCCCCCTCAGCTCCGCCCCCCTCCCTCAGCTCCCCTCCTCTCCGCCTCCTCTCCGCCTCCTCTCCGCCTCTCCATGGCTGCTTCCCAGAGTTTTCTTCACCCTTGGTTTTTGGCAGTTTGATGATGATGTGTCTGGGCGTGGTGTTGTTTGAACTGATTCTGGTCGGGGTCCACTGAACTTCTTGAATCTGCGAAATTATGTCTTTCACCAAATTGGGGGAGTTTTCAGCCACTATTTCTTTAAATGTTTTTTCCGTTCAACACTCTTTCTCCTCTCCTCCAGGGCCTCCAAGGATGCGACTGTCAGGACTGGTCCTCCCTCCCCCCACTTCTCCGCCTCCGCCCCTGAAGGATTCCTGAATGTTCTCTCCTCTGCGCTTGTCTCCCCGCCGCACAGCAGAGATAGAGGTGGAGCTTGGCTTTCTGCACTTGGGGGCTGCTCTTAGGGGAGGGCAGGGGCCAGTCTCCCAAATCCCTGTGCTGGATCAGACGTCAGGTGCTGGGTGCAAAGCAGAGATTCCTTTCCTTCCTTCTGGCCTGGAGAAAAGGAGAAATGCCCCCTGGTGCTGTGGAGCCAGCCAGCCCAGCCTCTGCATTGCTGGGAAGGAGACTGACTACATGCTAAACACTGACCCCCCCATCCCCCCTGCCCCAGCCCCTGGCACCCACCATTGTACTTTCTGTCTATGGATTCAACTCCTCTGGGGACCTCCTATAAGCGGCTTATTTCACTTAGCATCATGCCCTCGGGGTTCATCCATGTTGAAGCTGGTGTCAGAATTCCCTTCCTTTTTAAGGCTGAATAATATTCCATTGCATGGACCACATTTTTTTGTCCATTCATCCATCAGTGGACATCCGGGTTGTTTCTGTCTTTTGGTGATTGTGAATAATGCTGCTATGAAGACGCATGTGCAAATATCTTTGCAAGACCCTGCTTTCATTCCTCAGGTAAATACCCAGAAGCAGAGTTGCTGGATAAGATGGTAATTCTTTTTTGTTTATTTATTTGTTTGTTTGGTTGGTTGCACCAGCTCCTTAGTTGCAGCTCGCCGGCTCCCCAGTTGTGGCATGTGAACTCTTAGTTGTGGCATGCATGTGGGATCTAGTTCCCTGACCAGGGATCGAACCCGGGCCCCCTGCACTGGGAGCTCGGAGTCCCAACCACTGTGCCACCAGGGAAGCCCCATCAGACAGTAATTCTATGCTTTTACTTTTTTGAGGAACTGCCGTCCTGTTTTCCAGTCTTCCCGTCTTTTACCTTATGTGGAATCGTTCAGTACGTGTGTGTGTATGGCTTCTTCCATGTGACATTATATTCATGAGATTCATCCTGGTTGTCACACGCAGTGGCAGACTGTTTCTTTGCACTGCTTTGTTGTGTGCCATTGTACAAACACACAACAATTTATCCATTGAATGGCTCGTGGACACTAGGCTGTCTCCAGTTTGGGGCTGTTACGAATAGCGCCACCTGCACGTCATAGCCCGTGCCTGGGGAGACCTGTGCAGAGCTGATGGGTCCAGGGTATGCATGTGCCTTAACTGGATTTTTTAAAATAAATTTATTTATTTATTTTTGGCTGCATTGGGTCTTTGTTGCTGCGCGTGGGCTTTCTCTAGTTGCGGCAAGAGGGGGCTCCTCTTTGTCGCGGTGCATGGGCTTCTCATTGCGGTGGCTTCTCTTGTTGGGGAGCACGGGCTCTAGGCATGCGGGCTTCAGTAGTTGCAGTACTTGGGCCCTAAAGAGCGCGGGCTTCAGTAGTTGCAGTGCGTGGGCTCAATAGTTGCGACGCACGGGCTTCAGTAGTTGTGGCTCGCGGGCTCTAGAGTGCGGGCTCAGCAGTTGTGGCGCACGGGCTCAGCTGCTCCGTGGCACGTGGGATCTTCCCGGGCCGGGGCTCGAACCCGTGTCCCCTGGATTGGCAGGAGGATTCTCAACCCCTGAGCCACCAGGGAAGCCCTTAACTGGCTTTTCACAAGCCTTATCCATGCAAAATTCCCTGGAAAGGAGTTGTGTTGTGCTTAAATACAGTAACATACCAAGGTTGACAGTCGCCACACGTATTTCTCAAATACTTCCAAAGTGGATTCTAACCCTGTGACAACCCCTCTGTGGGCCAGACGCGATCGTTCCCCAGCGTCTCAGGTCAGGATAAACCCTGAGGTGAGGTAGCTTGCCCAGATCCCCCTGCGGGTGAGTGGGGAGCTGGAATGCAGATCCGGCGGCACTGGTCCCCACGGCTCACACGGCCTTTATTCACCTCTGAAAGGCAGGCGCTTGTTTTCCTCTCCACCACTCACGTTACCTTTTAGAAATTCAGTTTTAATTGCAAGGAAAATATTATGACAGTAGGCCTGCCCCGGCCGCCTGCTGCTTCCCCCTCTGTTATTACAGTAATTGACTTGCTGGATCCGGCTGACCGGAGGGTGCCCGTCTTCCTCGTCTGTGTTTGCCGGTCTCAGGCAGGTGCGTGCCTCTTGGCATTATGATTCCAGATAACTCAATTGGACGTGACTCGTCGAACAAAATTATCGGGAACAGAATGATGTTTAGTCAGAGGGTAGCTAGGAAACTGATCCACCTGTCTTGTAATTTCTTCTGATTTGTAGCAAGAAAGTTTATGAAGGTCCTGTGGTCACGTGAGAGCGATGACCAGCATGCACACGCCCTTGACCATCTATTTATTTACTCGCTCCTTTCTTATAAAATAGCACACACGCGATGCCCGCCGTTTTTTGTAACCCTCTTTCCTCCACTTAGCAGTGTATAAAGGATAACATTCTGTGCCCATAAATAGTCGTCTACAGCTTTCTCGGGGGCTACATCCTGTTCTACCATAATTTATCTAACTTATGTAGATTGTTCCCAGCTTTGGGGATTATGTGTAATGACTATTCTTGCCTGCGAATCTTCAGGCAGAAACTTATTTCCTTAGGACGTAGTTCCACGGATTTTATTGGGATTTTAGTCCATCTGTTCACCCTCCAAAAACGACGTGCCAATTTATACTTCTACTGGCAGGGCATGAGGATGTCTTTTCTCTCTTCTTTGGCCAGTATCAGCTTTAAAATTTAAACCATTATTTGCCAGTTTGACAGAAGACAAATAGACTGTCATCAGTACTTTCATTGCACTTCTTTGATTCAGGCGAAATCAAGTGTTTGTCATGAGCCGATCAGCGCGGTTTGTGAGACGCCTGTTCAAGTCTTTTGCCCATTTTCTGTGGATGTGCTTGTCCTTCAGAAACATACTGCTTTTTCAGAACATTATTAACCATTTGTCTGTAACATGGATTGAAACACTTACTCCTGGTTTGCCATTTGCTTTTAATTTTGGTTTATGGTATCTTTAACCGTACAGACATTTTAAAATTTCATGTAGCCAAATATATCACTCTTTTCCTCTGTGGTGCTTGGAAGGGCCTCACCATCCCAGAATAATGAAATGATTCATCTATATGCCCACTATTTTATCTGTCTGGTGGACTGGGATATGTGGTGACGTAAAGCTTCTAAACTACGCTTCAGATGCTTTACTTAAAAATTAGCTGAGGATCTTGCATTAGTGGCCAGAGATTGCAGATGGAATATGATTATATGGTTTTTAAATGGGTAGACGCTGATATTTCCTATAGATCCTATAGATCTTCATCAACCCCTCTGAATACAAAGTTTTCCCAGGTCAGTGGACTTGGAGAGAATTGTTTTCCCTTAATCGGTCATCTTCCATCCACCGGGCAGTGACCCCCCCGAAGTAACAGTGAGTTTCAGAGCCACTGCTGACCCCAGCGAGCACAAGGTCTCAGAGAGGAGAGCCCATGAGCGCCACAAAAGCACAGAAACACGGTCCCCCAGATACGGCCAGCGTGGGTGTGGCCGGGTTCCCGCGGGAGACGTGAACGCTTGGGTTGCTGCCGCTGTGTTTGGAGTCAGCGTGCGAGGCACTGGGCCCTGTGGGAGCCCAGGAGGGTCATGGATGTGCCTGTCTGAGGCCCCCCGCCCTGCGCCCGATGGGGCTGCCTGGCAGGACGTCCCTGCTTCTAACGCCGGGCGATGCAGAAAAGAAACAACTTGTGGAACTTCATAAATCAAGACTATTTTTGTTCCAAGGATTGAAAATTGATTACGGGTCGTGCGGATCCGGGAGGCCCGACTGCCTCAAGCTCTCTCTGTGCCAGAGTCCTGCGCGTCAGCAGTTTTCCCGGAAAGCAACCCTTTTGTGTTGAGCATCCTCGCGACCGATGACTGTACTGGGGCTGCCTGGCCAGACGGGGATGCAGAAGGCGGGCGCGCTGTCCCCAAAGCGCCTGGTCCTTTGACGACCCCTCGGGGGCAGAGCTGAGGCCTCTGGGCGGGACTCCGCTCAGCCTTCCTGCTCCTCCACGTGGACAGCCTGGGAGCCCCCCCGCCCCGCATTTCTTTGTTCATTTGACCCAGGTTTGCATCGGACATACCCCGGGGGAGAGGCCTTTTAAAACAGTTTACACGCCTAGTGAACATTGCCCCGTAAGACGACTTGATGCCAGTACCTCCCCCTTTGTGAAGCTTTTCCTTTGACCTACGATAAAGGTTGCTGGTCACTGCCCCTTGAGTCCTCTGAGATGACCGGGGACGGGAGCGCTGTCCGGGCCAGAGGCCCTTGTTCCCAGGGGCAGTCCTGGGACTCCACACCCCGTAGGGACCCTGTGCTCGAGCAGCAAAGGCTTGCTCTGCGCGTCGGCGGGTGGGCTGTGCTCTGCTTCGGTGTCTCCGTGGGAAGGAGTGGCCCTGGCAGCCTGCTGCTTCCAGAAGAACAAGAAACACAGTGGGTAGAGCTTGTGGTTCCACAGCCCACCCCCAACCAACCCACAGACCCGGGAGTGAGGGGGACATGCCTGGGGCGCCTGCCACGGGATGCTGGTCACACGGTGACAGCTGACCGATGCAGGAAGGGCCTCGGCTGAGCATGGCTGGGACTCATCCCTCTGACTTCGCCCCTGAGTGTCCTTGGTGTCTGTGGGCGTCTCTCCTCCCCCTGCCCCCCGCCCCGTACAAACCGTCACCTTCTGTCACCTGACACCTAACACATCCCCCCACCACCCCATCATCCCTCACCCTGCCCCCTCCAATCCAGTCACAAGAGCAGTGATCTTTGAAAGACACAAGCTGCTGAATCATATCACGTCCCCCTCCCCGTCGCCCCAGTTTAAAAGCCCATTAGTGGTTCTCTATTGCGTTAGAAACAGACCAAACCCCTCCCAGTGGCCTGGCCCAGCTTCCCTTCAGCCTCTGACCACACCGACTCCCTGGAATGGGCCGTCCTCCTCCCTCCCAGTTAAGCACCACCCGTCCTTCCATTCGCAACTAAAATGCTCCCAGGGGCTTGCCTGGTGGCGCAGTGGTTGAGAGTCCGCCTGCCGATGCAGGGGACGCGGGTTCGTGCCCCGGTCCGGGAAGATCCCACGTGCTGCGGAGCGGCTGGGCCCGTGAGCCATGTCCGCTGAGCCTGCGCGTCCGGAGCCTGTGCTCCGCAACGGGAGAGGCCACAACAGTGAGAGGCCCGCGTACCGCAAAAAAAAAAAAATGCTCCCAGGCCCTCCGGCTTGGGCCCCTCGCCCACGTGGGCCTGTCCTCGGGGGCTCGGGGACACGCCCAATGGGGGTGTGCATGCCGGTCCAGCTCCCACACGCCTGCAGGGGCCTCCCAGTGTCCCCTGGCCCAGGCGGTGGGGGGCAGGGCCCTCCACCCGGTGTTCCAGGGGCCCCCTGGACGTTTCCAGCGACCTCTTCCCTCTCCTCCCCACTCCTCTCGCTCCCCTGGGTCCCCTGACAGGGCGGCCACCAGCCAGGACATGGCTTTGGGGGGTGGGGGTCACCTGCCACTGCGGGGAGCCCCTTGGCCCCCGCTGTCTTCTCCCACCCTCCCTGTCCCTGCCGCCCCAGGCTGACCAACGGTGGGGGGACCCCGACTTCACCCTTTTCCTCCCAGGCTGCTCTCTGCACAGCACCTGACTCATTTAAACATTTCACCTTTATCACGGCCAACAAGGCCTTAAGCCAGTGATTCTCGGGCCCCACTGCACATTTATGAACACAAGATCCACGCTACCCACGCTGATCTGCCCTTGCAGGCCCATCTTGCCAGCATAGAAGCAGCCCCCTGAAAAGACAGAGGCTGCTCCTTTCATCACTGCTCGTAGAACTGAGTCTCCTTGACGCTGCCAAGGCCACGGGCCAGCCCTGGACCAGGGCCAGCCAGCCAGACCTGGGACACGTGGGCTGGGATGGGGCAGGGATGGATCCCCCAGGAGAAACCAGGTCCCCCCACCTCAAGAACGGGGTCCTCCCACAAATGTCCTCTGCAGCGGGGAAGGAAGTCCCAACCGACCCGATCTCCCTGTGGCCTCGGAGCTGCAGAACTCCGCTGTAAGTGGCCACAGAGCAGGGGGTCAGGGGAGCGTCGTTTTTAGGTTTATGAGACATTTTATTGGCCCATCTCGGATCATCATAGAGTGTGAGATGCAGTGTTTGCACCCCTGCAATAGTTTCCAGGCAAGAGACAATAAAGCAGAATGGACTTCTAAATGTG